GCAAGACTTTGTAAAGTTTTATCGAAAGAAAGGGGGGAAGGTGTAGGTGTGATGTCCTTGCCCAATGGAAGTAAAACTACATCGGCGGAAGAGACATTACAACACCTAATATCCACACACTTCCCCGACTCAGAATTTACCAATGAACCACCTATGAGGACGAATCCAGTGAGGAGAACTCACATGGATTACAAAACGGCCTCAAGGGTGGTTACATATGAGAAAGTAAGATGGGCCATAAAGTCTTTCGCACCATTCAAATCGCCGGGTGTGGATGGTATATTTCCGGCCCTCCTCCAAGAAGGACTGGATGCCATCATACACCTGCTTATGAAGATACTACGAGCCTGTCTGGCTCTGGGCTACATACCAGTGGAATGGAGATCGGTCAGGATCGTTTTCATCCCAAAACCAGGGAAAATAGATTATTCCCAGGCCAAAGCGTATCGACCTATCAGTCTGACGTCCTTTCTCATGAAGACGTTGGAAAGGCTGATAGATCGACACATCAGAGAAGAGCCGTTGCAAACGAATCCACTGCACGAGCAGCAATTTGCCTACCAAACTGGAAAGTCCACAGACGCAGCTCTCCATCATCTAATTCGAAGGGTGGAGAGAGTGCTAGCTTGTGGACGATCTGCCATGGGGGTCTTCTTAGACATAGAAGGGGCATTTGATAATACATCATTTGAGTCCATCTGCTCCGCTGCGGAGAGGCATGGAACTAACCCAACTTTGATTAGGTGGATTCGGGCCATGCTGTCACAGCGAGTAGTAAGAGCAGAACTAAGTGGGAGTTCTGTGACCGCCAGAGTATCGAGAGGGTGCCCTCAAGGTGGAGTGTTATCACCGCTCCTATGGTGCCTGGTGGTCAATGAGCTCCTCACAACACTCAATGAGTCAGGGATATATGCGCAAGCATATGCAGATGACTTAGTTATTATGGTTCAAGGCCAACCGGTGAATCACCTAGGGAACTCCATGATGGGAGCTCTCAGGAAAGTGGAACAGTGGTACTCCGCCGGTGGGCTTAGAGTGAATCCTGAAAAAGCGGATCTGGTGTTATTCACCAAGAAACGTAAAATAGGGACACTTCCAGAGGTTTTTCTCTCAGGAAGGTGTCTTCAATACAAAGGCTCAACCAAATATCTTGGAGTCACAATCGACTCCAAGTTGACCTGGAATGAGCATATAGGTAATCGCACCAAGAAGGCTATATGCTGCTACTGGGCATGCAGAAGAGCCTTCGGGAAAACGTGGGGCCTATCACCTAAGACCCTTCACTGGATATACACGGCAATTATTCGCCCAACACTAACGTACGGGTCCATCGTATGGTGGACCAGTACTAAAAAGAGCAAAACTAGACATGAACTGGATAGAGTTCAGCGACTGGTTTGCTTAGGAATGACAGGTGCTATGAGGACAGCGCCTACTAGGGCCCTTGAGGTCCTACTAGGTCTGCGCCCTTTACATCTGATTGTAGAGCATGAAGCCATGCGCACTGCCTACAGACTCAAAGGTGCAAACCAATGGATCGAAAAGGCAGACTATGGACACTCCCTAATATGGAACAAGGCCGAAGAGAGCTGTCCCAGTCTGCTGATGGTAAGGGACAGCACTCTGCCAGTTCTGAATTTCAATAAAGCTCCGCATGTCATTTTTCCTACAAGAGAGGAATGGACTGGCAATACACCAGGCTTGCTTCCTGCCAACGAATCAACCTGGTTCACGGATGGCTCAAGGTTTGGTGGCGGGTCTGGTGCAGGAGTATATGAAGGAGGAACAGGGAAAGGAATCTCAGTACCTCTTGGCAAATACGCTTCAGTGTTCCAGGCCGAAGTGTTTGCAATTCTGACGTGTGTCCAAGAAAATTTCGGCAGAAGTGGACGTGGACCAGTCACCATATGCTCGGACAGTAAAGCTGCTATTATGGCATTGAGATCCAATAGGATCACAACTAAATTGGTGTCCGAGTGTAGAAGTGCCTTAGAAAATATGGCAAAAACTAGGAAAGTCAGCCTCATGTGGGTTCTGGGACACTCTGGTATCCCGGGGAACGAGGAGGCAGACAGATTAGCCAAGATCGGTTCAGGAACGACACCCATTGGACCAGAACCGATATTGGGAATACCCAATAGTACGGCTATGTCCTTCATGAAGGAAATGCTACAGAGGCAGTTCCTTGAAACATGGTGGGACACACCAGGAATGAGACAATCAAAGCTCCATATAAAGGAACCTTCAAAAAGGCTCACGAGAGAGATCCTGTCACTTAATAGAAGGGATCTCAAGATGGTAGTTGGGCTCTTAACTGGGCACAACCACCTCAACAGGCACCTAGAACTCATAGGGATCAAAGATGATCCCATCTGCAGATGGTGCTTGGAGGATGATGAAACATCATCATACATACTCACTGAATGCCCCGCGCTGGTGCATCAGAGGAAAGCTGCCTTTGGGAGCATTGTACTGCACCCAAAGGATGTGAAAGTGACTCAGCTGAGGAAGCTGCTGAATTTCGTCAAAGAAATCGGCATGCCCAGCTGATTCACAGGACAAGTGGGCGCACAATGGGCCCGACTGAAGAGGCCTGAGTGCAGGGGTCTACGCATCCGCCCACCTGTGCAGAGAAGAAGAAGAAGAAAAAGACACCAGTCAATTGATTCCCAATCGTCACAGGAGTTGCACGTGCTGGGTAATGATGAAGATAACAATGGATGAAAAAAACAGAGAGTGACATGAAATTGAAACGACAATTGATCGAAGCGACGGATGCAGTGAGACAGAAATTCAATACTCAGCAAGTACACCGAAATATAACGGCCGTAGTGATACTACCGAATTTTATTCGCCTTCATGGAAAACTAATATCGTACCCGATCCCACAGAATCACAGCTCATGGATACGCCACATTCGTCAACAATATCTTCAATGAATGACGATAATACCATTCAAGCCATTGAGGAGCGAGATCGAATAGCAAATGGGCACATTGAGAATTTATTATATGGGGACTCACGCTATGATGAAGCATATGGTGTTCATATAGATTCCAAAACAAAACGACTGAAGATTGGTGAAGCTGAAGTGAGTTTTCCTATAGGAAACATCATAATTCGAAGCTGCAGCTTATCTACAATTATATGATATGATATTCCTCAAGAAACCACCAGAAAATATAAGAGGTGAAAATATGAAATCATTTGCCGCTATAATGCAACTGACACGAGCACCATACAAGAACTACGATCTCAGGCAAGGACTCAATACATCAAGTTCGAAGGAATATTATGAATTAATCAAACCATCAGTTCGTACTCCTTATAAAATGAGGGAAAAGGAAGGTGGAAAACTGAAGCACTTCTTATCAAACAAATTGTACACTACGTCGGAAAAGGAGTATGTAAATTGAAATAGACCCAAAGAACTGGTGGATCGATTGAGATTATTATGGAGTTCAAAGATGGCTGGACATACTGGACATACCAACAAAATCATATCTATAAATGAAGAGTTGCGAGAAGAAGGAATATTATACTAGATTCGATAACTATATCAAGAGAACATTATGATAGAGCTCATCAGTTATAATCTACATTCGAATCGAGATAGATCCATAGACGAAGTGAAGATATGAATGATATTGAACGACGAATTGCAAAGGAACTACATGGATCTGCTCGCCGCAACTTCAGAAGAAGAAGAACAATCATCAAAGGATTTGCTGATTTGTGGCAGATCGATCTTGCTGAAATGCAACAATATGCAGAGGTGAATAATGGATATAGATATATTCTCTTCGTGATTGATTGTTTTTTCAAATATCTATGGACTGAACCAATCAAGAACAAAACAGGAGAGGAAGTTAGTAAAGCTATGGAAAAAATTCTGAAAGAAGCGAAATACTTACCAAAACATATTCCAAGTGATGCTGGAACAGAATTTTTCAATCGCTGGTTCAATGATTCGATGGAAAAATATGGAATCAATCATTACACTACATACAGTACTGAAAAAGCTGCTATCGTTGAGCTGGTCATCAGAACTCTGAAGAAATGGATGTATGAAGAGTTCTCAGCTATAGGTGAATATGTATGGCTAGGCATATTACCTGAACTAAACCACAGATATAATAATAAAAAACATCGCACCAGCGGAATGAGACCTGTAGATGTTTTACCTTCAACACAGATAGAAGCATATAGTCACCCGAAAATAGCTTTGAAGCCAAAATTTAAAGAAGGTGAAATTGTCAGGATAAGCAAGTACAAAGGTGTTTTTGAAAAAGGATACACTGCGAACTTCTCAACAGAACTCTTCGAAATCACTTCAGTGAAAAGAACTAATCCAACTACTAACTTACCCAGAGACATGGAGGGGAATCCAATCAAAGGATGTTTTCATGGAATGGAATTACTGAAAACGTTTAATCCCAAAATATATTTGGTTGAGAAAATTTTGAAACGCAAAGGAGATAAAATATATGTAAAGTGGTTGAGATTTTCAGATAATCATAATTCATGGATCAAAGCAACGAATATTATATGAGGTGTATAACTAGGAAGTAAAAATGAATGGTTTCGAAAATTGAGCACATGTCTAATTTATTTGAAATTAAATACGTTCTGTAGGTTAATCGAGGAAGTGGTACAAAAAATTTGGAATAATATTTGAAATTATCTTAATTAATGGGTGTACGCGAGAACGAGAGGTATACACGCGATTGTTTAGCTCCTCGTTTCTTCAACTATTTGTGGGATATTCTACTTGTAAAATACCCGTACTTTCTCGTGATTCGGAATCTACAAATTACTAATCGATCTATGTAGTGCATTTGTCATAAATATTGCTTAACTCAGTGAGAAAAGTGAATTTGTTGATTCATACAGTGCAATATCGTCAATACCCAATCCATTGGTAAAAACATAGACTCACCAAGGAACAAAAAACGTCGAAGTTTTTTGTCGTTTAGTGGCCTGCCTGGTAGAAAGAAGCGATGCCAATCTGTTCTACGTGTACGTCTGCGATAACCAGCAAGACCCCGGGTTTGCCGTGCAGTGGTTCTTGCGAGAAGTACTTCCACGGCAAGTGCGTCGGCCTGAGTGGGCAGGACGTCGGACGACTCATTATGCCTGGCGCTCTCTGGAACTGTGCTGATTGCAGGAGCGTTAGCCAGAAACGAGCATCTCTTCTAGCCGCCGGAAATGATGATGAAATAGAAGGGGAATGCTCTATCAGTTCGATGAGCATTCTTAAAGAAATTCAAACAGAGATGAAGGCGTTCAATAGCAAATACGATACTATTTTAGAATCTGTGAATTTTTGTAGCAATCAGATAACAACATTTGAAAGATTGTTGAGTGAATTAAATAAGAGAATGACAACCATTGAGAAACTCTCGAAGGAAAATGCTGATCTGAAAGTGATGGTTGGACAGTTGACAACCAGAATAGATAACATCGAACAACAAGCACGCCTCAATAATATTGAAATACAGGGTGTACCTGAGAAATCCAATGAGAACATTATTCAAATACTGGAACATATTGGTCAACACATTCAGTGTACTATCTCGCCCTCTAATGTCAACTCAACTCATAGAGTTGCTCATTCTACTCAATCTGAGAAGCCTAAGTCTATCATCGTGAAATTTCACTCCAAAGTGAAGCGAGATGAAATCTTAGCAGCAGCTAAAATTAAAAGATTAAGCTACTCTGACAAGAGTCAACCGGGTCTTGTCATTGAAAACATTTCGAGGGGACTCTTCATAAATGAACACCTGACAACAAATACTAAACTCCTTCTTAAAAAAGCTAAAGATATGTCCAAATCAAACAACTATAAATTCGTCTGGGTGCGAAACGGTGGTGTCTTCGCCCGAAAAAATGAGAGATCCAAAGTTCTGAGAATCGTCAATGAAAGTGATGTTCAAAAGATGACCTAAATTGTCATCTCCTCAACAACCAAATATATATACATGCTTGATTTTCGATGGAATTGTCGATAATATATCAAAACGTTCGTGGTCTCAGATCTAAAACTAACCTTATCTATAAAAACTCCCTTACTTGTGATCAAAGTGTGATATGTTTGACCGAGACATGGTTGAACAACTCGATATCTAGTTCAGAAATAATCTGTAGTTCCTTCAACGTTTACCGGAGGGACCGTGAAACAACATCATCTTCTAAATCCGACGGTGGTGGGGTTCTAATAGCAGTCAATAAAATCTTCAACAGCTATACCCAAGACTCCTGGAACTCAGATGCTGAAGATCTGTGGGTGACCATTTCAACAAACAATACCAACAATAAAATGCATATCGGTTGTGTTTACATACCACCAGGTGAATACTCATATCTTGTATGTTTTTGCACGAAACTGAATGATATAATTGAGTCCTGGACAACAAATTGAGGTTCAAAGAACATATATCCTCCAAACTAAGAATTGCATATGCCTCACTGAAAATGATTTATACCCAACGGCAATTCCTCTCGTGTGAAATCAAAAAAATGTTATGTGACTCGCTTGTACTATCACATTTCAATCATTGCGATGTCGTGTATGGTCCCTGCTTAGACAGTAATGATTCTAGACGTATTCAGAAGCTTCAAAATTCTTGTGTTCGATTGGTTTGCGGAATAAGAAAATATCACCACATCTCAGGAAAATTTAAGGAAATGAAATGGCTGAATATGTACAACCGTCGAACTCTACATTTTGCATGTTTGGCCCATACAATCTACACTTTCAAAACACCTCCCTATTTACATAACAGACTAACTTTCAGAACAGATGTTCATAATCTGAATATCCGACAAAAAACCCTTCTTCGTGTGCCGAGACATGAAAAAATTATTTATAAACGCTCGTTCTCTTATGGTTTGGCAGTCTGTATCAACAATCTGCACAGATTAGATCCTTCACTGCTATCATCTTCTACCGAATCATTTAAAGTTAAATATAAAAAGTATCTTTTGTCCACGCAGAAATGATCTTACAAATCAACTAATCTTTGTTGTTACTCACTTTCCCTATCTTTTTCCTTTTTTTCCTTCTCGCTCTCTTCTTTTTTCCTCTCCCTCTTGGTTCCTATCATTTTCTTTCAAAATATCGTTTCTTTACATTTAAATTATCATTTGCTTCTCAAATTTCTTTCTTCAATTTCACTGGCACTGGTGGAAGAACAGGGGTGGATTAGTCCACAACTGAACCAGTTATAGCCATTTATCCACTTGAATTCTGTTATATTACGTGCCCTGTACTATTTAAATATTTTGTGGATAATAAATGTATTATTATTATTATTATTATTATTATTATAATTCTATCTAATCCTGAAGATACTTTTGTGATTTGTGGGGACTTCAACTCTCCAAATATAAGATGGTTGCCAGACCGCATTAACAATATCTGTAAACCTCATGACTTTTTCGATCAATTTTCTAACCTATTAATAGATACTGTCTCCTTTAACGCACTATCGCAATGTAATTATTTTACAAATTCGTCCGGTAACACAATTGATCTGATTTTCAATAACACATTCAACATTCAAAATGTACGCTTGAGCACTTCACCACTAGTTCCGGAAGACAAATATCATAATACTTCGGAATTCACTGTCAACTTCTATAAATCCTCTTTCTCAAACAACAGCAGCAAGCATAACTCTTATGATTTTCGTGAAGTTGATTATGAGCTACTAAAATCAGAACTATCTAAAATTGAATGGTATAATTTGTTTCATAACATGAGCAGTGAAGAATCAACTGATGTGTTTTATAATACTATCTTTTCGATAATTGATTTTGTAGTTCCAAGAAAAAACAATATTCACAAAAGATATCCTTCATGGTATGCATATAGTACCATAAAAGTTATCAAAGAGAAGAGAAAATATCATAGTTTATGGAAAAAACATAATAATCAAATAGACTATTTAACATTCAAACTACTGCGTGGTCGTTCGAAATTTTTAATTGAAGAGGATTACAAAAACTATATTAATCATTGTGAAACCAGTATCAACTCAAATCCGAAACATCTATGGCAATTCGTGAAGTCGAAAAGGAACAGTACTGCTTCAATCAACACCCTGAGAGATGGAGATAGGATAATTACAAGCTCTAACGAAATTTGCAAGATATTTTCTGACTATTTTCTCTCGGTTTTTATTCCAAAAAGAATTCTTCCTGTTCAGATAGTAACACATCAAGAATCATATAATAACATTTGTTCCTATAATATTTTCTTACAGTCTATTATTCAAAAACTTGAGAATCTTTCGAATAAAGGAATGGGACCAGATGAGATACCGACATCATTCCTCAAGAACTGTGCTGAATATATCGCAATCCCACTCTACATTATCTTCAATAAATCTCTCGAAGAAGGCGTATTTCCTTCAGTTTGGAAGAAAGCTCATATAATCCCAATCTTGAAATCCGGTAACAAACTACTCGTGAAAAACTATAGACCGATTTCAAAATTGTCAATCATAGCAAAAATTTTTGAATCAATTATTTCCGACAAGCTGTTCTTCGATGTTAAGAACATAATCAACATTGAACAACATGGCTTCATGAAGAAGAGATCAGTTGATTCCAACTTATTCACCTACACTGAGTATATTCTACACAGGCTCAATGACAAACAACAAGTTGATGCTATCTATACCGACTTCAGCAAGGCGTTTGACAAAATCGATCACTCTGTTTTGCTACAGAAACTTGCTGGTGTCGGAATAGATGGCAATCTGCTGAAATGGCTTCATTCTTATGTAACTGATCGTTGTCAAGCAGTAACAATCGGTAATCAAAAATCTGAATATCACCAAATCACCTCTGGAGTGCCTCAAGGATCTCATCTGGGGCCACTATCATTCAATATTTATATTAATGATATATCTCAATGTTTTCGATTCTCCAATTTTTTAATGTATGCGGATGATCTAAAAATATACCACTAAATTTCCGATGCTGACGACATCAAACTATTGCAGCAGGATATCAATCGTTTTCATGATTACTGTGAGCTGAATAGTTTATACATTAACTTTGAGAAGTGTTACCACATTTCGTTCGGACGCGGGAAAAGCATTTTGAGCCACTCTTATCAAATATCTTCTCGTCCCTTACAAACTGTTACAGAAATTAAGGATTTAGGAATAATATTCGATTCAAAAATGCTTTTCGATAAGCATATATTCTACATTGCTAAAAAAGGTTATAAAATGCTAGGTTTCATAATGAGAACTTGTCGTGAATTTAAAAACACACAGACACTCCGTACCCTTTATATGTCATATGTCAATAGTGTTCTGAGTTATGGTTCATTAATATGGAACCCTGGTTACGATATTTATGTAAACAAACTTGAACGGATACAGAATATATTCATTGATTACGTCAATAAAAAATGCTTTCCATCCAACCCCAGCAACCGTAACTATGTTCGAAATGAGCTGAACTTATTATCACTAGCGCATAGAAGGAACATTTCAGACGTGAAATTCCTTTATGAAATCATAAATAATTTAGTTGATTCGCCTGCTATCCTCAGTAATATTTACCTTACAGCTCCTACTTATATTACAAGGAATCATCACATTTTTCGTTACGAACAATCTCAAACAAATTATTTTTTGAACTCTCCAATGCATAGATGCAAAATATTATACAACGCTCTGTCGAATTCTATCGATATTGATATTTTCTCTTACTCACTTCCCAAATTTTCTTACATTTTGAAAAAACATTTCCTTGCTTCACCTACTTGATTTTGATATATTTTAACGTTTTAATATGTACTGAATAAAATTATTTCACCCTTGTTTGTATCAACACACTACAATCACTACATGTTTTACCTATACTCAATCATTTATAATTACTCCAATTATTGATTTTCATCAACTTTGTAATTGATATTCGATTTGTTTAGTTTTAATATATCTGTATGATGAGATATGACATATCTGTGAATACTGCTTTTGGGTTAGTCCCGTTTGTATTCCTATTCGTAAATAAATGAATAAATAAATAAATAAATAAATGAAATAACATTGAAACCCTCAATGAGAGGTATCGACTTATTATTTATCATCACTACCTGATGACTGCTCTAAGTCTCGAAATTGGTCAACTCTTCGACTTGGCAACATGGCAACGTACGAGTTGATGTGTCGTGAATTGGACAAGTTCAGAAAATCAGAACTTATTGAAATCATAATAAAGAAAAAGGTGCCTAATGATGTGAAACTTAGTGAAAATGTTCGTAGAATGATCGAAGGTGGAGATAACTGTGAGTTTTTTGATTCTATCAGTGACTCTCAACCATTTGACATAACCAACAAATTGACCATCACTAACTTGAAATGTGAAATCAAATGTAAAGACACTGAAATTGATTGTTTGCAAAGATTGAATAGTGAATTAGTGCGAAGCATAACCGACAAAGAAACAATCATTAGCCTGTTGAACTCAGATATACAAAATAGAAATAGACCGAGTGGTGAACGTAAACAACACTACAATGTTGCCACGCTGACGAATTCAACCAGGGCTTCTGTTATTAGTAAGCCACAAACGGAAAGTAAGAAAAATTATTCAACGATTGCTAGTAAACAATCTATAACTGTAGAGCAAGTTAGCGAAAGCATTAATCAAGCGGGAACGTCTAAACAGAACCAACATCTGGTCCAACCGAATGAACACAACGTTACACCGGTGGTTACACCATGGACAACAGTTAACCATAGGAAGAAAAGATCCGAATTACTAGTAGGTACTAATAGTTTATCAAACTCTTCGTTGAAAGGGATTCCCAAAACCATGGTGTTGCATGTATCGAGACTAAATCCCAACACTACAACGGAAGATTTGAAGTCATTTTTGAAGCCGAATTTTCCAGAAGTAGTCTGCGAGAATTGGAAGTCCATAGTTCCCGAGATATACGCATTATTTAAAGTCACCATCTATGACAAAAACTCACAAAAGGCCATGGAGTCATCTGTATGGCCTGAGGATGCACACGTTCAGCGGTTTTTTTTTTCAAAAAGAACATGGAAACTGTGACCTCATGATGAACGAATCTGCGATCAATTTGGATCAGTCTAGCGATTATGAGCTGCATGAAGCAGATTGGGTGAAAATACTTCACTTGAATATTCAATCTTTATCTAATGAAATAGAAGAAATACTAGTATTGCTCGATAGTCAACAATATAATAGTTCATGCTTGAGTGAACATTGGATGAATGGAAAGACTCTTGAAATGGTAAATTTACATAATCTCAAATTAATTTCATTTTTTTGTCGAAAAAACACTATACACGGAGGTGTGTGTATTTTCGTGATTTCTAACTTAAACAGTAAATCTCCAAATGTTGACAAGTACAGTATTGAAATGCATGCTGAATTCTGTGCTCTCGAGTTTTCATGCATCAAAATTGTTATTTTAACTGTTTACAAGCCTCCAAGTGGAGATATTGAAATTTTTTTTGAAAAGTTCTCTGAAATAGTTTCATTCCTCTCAAGTAAGTATGATAGACTTGTGATAGTGGGCGATTTTAACATAGACCTGCTAAAGACTACTGCAATCTCAAATCCTTGGGTAGACATTGTAAGCTCATATGGTCTTCAGATCACTATCTGTGAGCAAACTAGACAGACCTCAACTTCAACTAGCTGTATCGACGATATTCTTACCAATATAAGTACAGAAGAATTCACAGTCAAGGTATTTGAACCTTGTTTATCAGATCATCTTGCTCGAACTATGAACATAAAGACTTATAAAGAACCAACAAAGAGTTGCTTTGGAAGAAAAATTAATAAGACAGGAGTACGTAAATTGAATGAATCATTATCGTTAGTGTGTTTTAGAAAGTTCGATGATATCGAAAGCACTGATGATAGCATACACGAGCTATCCTCTTTTTGAGTTGATACTTATGAATCGCTTATAAACAGACATTTTCCTGAAAGGTCTTATAAGACATGCAACAAAGCACCTGTAAACTTCTTTAGTGAAGATTTACGTCAACTGAGGAACGCTGTCTCGTGCATTAAAACTATAAGTATTGCGTCTGGTGATCCAGCAGATCATGAGGTATATAAAAAATCCAAAACCTACTATTCTGATGGAATCAAGAGGGCGAAACAAGCTACATATAGTCAATACTTGAGCAACTTCGTTAACAAACCAAGAGACAGTTGGCGCTTGTTCAATTATGAAAAGAATTCTGTACGACATAAAGTTGCGACTAATGACACGTTATCGCCAGATGAGTTCAATAACTTTTTTTCTCATGTAGCCGAGAGTATCATAGGCTCCTTGCCTCTTTATGATAATCAAACAACAGACTACCTGAAAAATAATTCGAATTCTTCAATGCTTTTGCTTGACACTTGGAACATCTTGGGCCACTTGTTTCTTCAATAACTGGTTCTGGTACCATCCAAGGTGGTCTATTCTCATAAACGCATCTTCGACATAATCCTGTAGATGAATTCATTTCCTCTTTATTATAAGCCCCATTGCAATTGAAACACATTACTGACTCATCAATTCTGGATGGGAATGTGGCTATTTTTGGCTTTGAATCCCATGATTCTGGAAATGGCATCATTGAGTGATAGATGTGTTATCGAGTAGAATTGATACTGAAACTCAAAAGTGTCTCCTCTTCCCTTTATAGGTACCAAAATGGTATCCTATGACGTCACACCCCTTTCCATATGAATCGTGACGTCAAACTCCTATCCCTGGGAATTGTATAAAAGGGAAGGAAGTCCAAGAGTAAGATCATTCGCTTCAGTTGTTCCAAGAAGTGAATTGGAGAAAAATGAAAGCTATGTTCAATGTTTTGAATCAAATTGCTGTTGAAGACATGAATAATATTGATGTAAGTTATTCAAATATGAAACTTTTTATATGATTATTTGTTTATCATTGCTTATAGGATATGGAAAATGAAATGTTGATGGCTCAAGTTCAGAATCGAGCAGCAGTGATTGACGTAAGTAATGAAAAATTTACATGATTATTTGCATTACATTTACTAATTATTGTACTCTTTAGAATGACGGAGTTGCACATGCACATCGAGATGAAGGATTGGGAAGCGATATTGATGATGAGCCTGAGGACATGCGAGTCAGAAGTTGCAATGTAAATATCGAAGATGTACGTCCTCATCAGAATCCCCTGTACTGCATCACCTTGTCCTACGTACAGGTTGACACTGCGAATGGCGATAGGCTCCTGTGCTACACATGTTTTCATCGCTATATACCATTGCCTCAAGGAGGCCTATACAGACACGTTGAAACACACTACACATCCCAACTGGACGGAATTCCTAGAAGGGAGTCATGTACCGTATGTGGTATCCGGTTGTGGATAATGAGATTAGTGGAAGTGTGTATCATGTGTAATAACACTCCAGTTGTAGGGTCAATTAGAGCATGAGCTGTAATTTTAATATATAATGTTGTGTCTAGTTATTAATGTCAATGTATGTTCTGATGAAAGTAGATTTGAATATACGTTAATTTTGTACTGATTTGTTTGATTCAATACCTGGCTGAATAAAAAAATAATGATCATTACTATCTGAGACTTCATTGTTGAAAGATAGACACAATTGATAAGTTTGGACGCAAAAGAAGCAGATCACATGGGTCGTTGCGAGGCCCGCAGGGTATTGGTTTTAGTCTAGATTCCGATGGGAATTATAATATGCTCGGAAAACGACTGAAAAATGTGGGTAACTCCATGGATGATACAGATTGTGTTCGATTGCAAGTTATGAAGGAACACATCGACGAAGCGAAAGAAGTAATTCTAATGGCACTCCAAGCATCAATCTCAGCAGTTGTCAAAGATCTAGCACTTCAAATAAGCAAGGAGCATCAGGAAATCTATGATGACATTAAGAAATTAAAAAAGAAACAGAGAGAGACAAAAGGAGAAATACCAACTTCCATAATTAAATAGGAATATAATTGTACTATAGACACCATGTATTTGAACTGATCATCCCCACCTTCTTCACATCTCTTCACCTCTTTCCACCACTTCACACCTCCCCACCACTTAACCCACCACTTCACCTCTCCCCACCAACGCTCCCTCTACCACTCCTCCGATATATAGATGAACTCCTCCTAAATCTACCACAGTTGAAGACAACCATCCTGCTAATAATAATGGCACCAAGACGTCAAGTAGCTGACCAATCGTCACGTCAGAGAAGATCCACCAATCGACCAAGGATGCCTAGAAGGGCTGCAAGTATAAGACCAAACAGCCCAGACAGCACAATGGAGACAGGTCGTCGAAGAGCTGTGAATCAAGACCCTTCACCAGGACCTTGTGACTCTACTCATGGGGTTGTTGTGGAAATAATTGCAGAACGTCACGATCAAAGTGATCGTGACCCTCCCGATCAGAGCCAATTGAGTTCACCAGGACTCTATCCTTTGATGAAGGGTAACGATGCTTGGGTAAGAAAGTTGATAATGAGTGAGTAGAACAATTGAAGTAAATTTCTTTTTTTTATAGGACATCGTCTCCGATTGGTGGGATCTACTAGATGGTCTTCAAGAACCTAGAGATGGTGAACTTTCTCCCAGACAGCAAAGCCAATTGTTCCTGAATGCTAACTTCGGAAAGAGACAATAAATGTGTTTAGTTAATGTTAGTTATAGATTAATATTCAAATATAGTGGAAGAATGATTGATGATTGTTAGATTGTATTATATTTTATGTTATTATAGATGATAATTGATCGATTGTAATTAGTTTCACGAATAATTATAGGATATTTTTGTATGGTAGACTAAGTTTGAATAAAATTATTCAATCAACAAATCGATTATTAGTTGAAAAAATAAACTCAAGAGATAAGGTGAAAGATTTGCTGTACTATTCACAAACATATTCCGTGGTAGATGAAAAATGTCAGCGTTATGACGTAGTGCACCTAATTATTTGTTTTGCGCACATGGAATGATATATTTCGACCAATTCGAGGAACTCGAGATCAATTAATAGAATATGATGAATAAAGTAGTACTCATAATGAAACAGGAGAATGCGCAAGGAAAATTATCAAATAACAGTGTGCGCATGCGCTAACTCCTTCAATATAATTTTCATCATGGAGATATACTAGTGTTCCGAGTTAGTTGTGGGTTGAAGATGATTGTAGAATATACTGCGCATGAGAAAAATCATAAGGAATATGATGCGCATCCGTTTTCTGAAGAAAAGAATCATCTATCCAACTGAAAATGGTGAGTTTGTTCTAATTACTCGAAAATATATGCATTTTGATGTACTGCGCATATTTATTCCTTTTGCGCACAAAGAATGATCAATTATGACCAATTCGAGAAACTTGATATCAAATTTATGCGCAACCCATGAAATACGAAGAATAATATTACATTCACATTGAAACATGAGATCGCGAAAGGAAAAACCGTCTCACTACAGTCTGCGCATGCGCTAACTTACATAGATCACTGACATCACATAGATGTTATGATGTTTCGGATTGCTAATGAGTTGTAGATGAGTATTGAATATACTGCGCATAAGAAAAATCATCAGGAATATGATGCGCATGCGTTTTATGAGGAAAAAGAACATCTATTACATTGATATCGGATAAAATGTTCAAGTTACTCATACTTACATACTTACTTATATTCATTTTGATGTACTGCGCATACGTTTTCCTCTTGCGCATCTCAAACGACTCAATTTGGTATATCTCGAGAACCGTGTATCCTAGGGCTGCGCACTACCGAAACAACCCCCGTTTCCCCACACCCCCATCATCCAGGGGAAGCGGGGGTTTGTGGTGGTTGGTGTTGGCGGAAGAAATAAGGGGGGTGGGTGTTGGTGGTTGGTGTTGGTTGGAGGGAGGGGGGGATTGATTGGTGTTGGTGGGAGGAAGGAGGAAGGGGGGGAGGAAGATGAGTTTGGATATTGTAGGTTGAGGGATTAGAGCTTTAGAGGAAGATAAAAAGTCAGTTCACGAAAATAAATCAATATATTTAT